ATTTTCCAGCAGGATTTGGCACCTGCCCACACTGCCAAAAGCACCAAAAGTTGGTTAAATGGCCATCGTGTTGGTGTGCTTGACTGGCCAGCAAACTCACCAGACCTGAACCCCATAGAGAATCTATGGGGTATTGTCAAGAGGAAAATGAGAAACAAGAGACCAAAAAATGCAGATGAGCTGAAGGCCACTGTCAAAGAAACACGGGCTTCCATACCACCTCAGCAGTGCCACAAACTGATCACCTCCATGCCACGCCGAATTGAAGCAGTAATTAAAGCAAAAGGAGCCCCTACCAAGTATTGAGTACATGTACAGTAAATGAACATACTTTCCAGAAGGCCAACAATTCACTAAAAATGTTTTTTTTTATTGGTCTTATGAAGTATCCTAATTTGTTGAGATAGTGAATTGGTGGGTTTTTGTTAATTGTTAGCCAAAATCATCACAATTAAAAGAACCAAAGACTTAAACTACTTCAGTCTGTGAGCATTGAATTGATTTAATGCACGAATTTCACAATTTGAGTTGAATTACTGAAATAAATGAACTTTTCCACAACATTCTAATTTATTGAGATGCACCTGTATACTTTGTAGCTGCAAGCAGCATTTAAGGGGCCAAGCACAACAGAGGCAAAACGTCTGGAAAATCCTAAATACAATCACTGGTGATATGAATTAATGGTTTATTACTTTTGTCCTATAGGTGGTGCTATGGTCAGTGTGATGTGACAATGACACAAAGTTTGGTGTAAATGTATGAACGTTTAGATGCAGTTTGTCATTATGCCATCAAATTTGTTGATACAGTAAATTAAAACCATTTAGTTTATTGACACAATATCCAAAATCTGTGTCAAATTTGGTGAAAATCAGCCCAATGGTCGAGGAGGAGTTTGAAAAAGTAGGTTTTCAAAGAAAATCAAAATGGTCAATTATGGCATAATTGGTATCAATGTTCTCAGCATGGTCCAAAGAATCTATTAACACCAGTCTCGCGACAATAGGCAAAACTAATCAAAAGTTATTAGCGTTTTTTTTACTTTCAAACTTTTCGAGTACCTTCAGTGCATGGTCAGTGGAAAATTGGGTTATCGTTCGACTAGGTATGTTACTCCAAATCTAAAAACACCAGCCTTATGATTTTTGGCCAAACCATTTTTCATATCTCCCGACCATTAGGTGGCGATGTGCCAAAAAAAAATGTAAGTCATAGTTTTATTATATTCCTTAATATCTTATTTTTAGAATTATCATTCGTTTGTTTTATCCATGACACATTCTTGCTACCAACTTTTGCACAGAACCTGTTTCATTGTTTCAGCTGAGTGCTTTTTGAATGAAATGAAGAAAAAGAAACAAAGGACATACAATGCATGCATACTATATCTGAAGCAACAGCGTTATTTTTAAATACTAAACATTTTAGATCCAGAAACAGATTCTTCCACAATGTCCTATTTGGGACGTAAAATGTTGAATCTCAGCTTAATTATTTACACAGTTGGGAGGCTGTTATTGCTCCCTCGAAATCATCTCTTGCATGCAAACTGGCCCCTGTGATGCGGCCTGGGGCTCATTTGTTTGTCCAGGTTGTGTTTGCCTTCACAGCTGACTGATTTTTTCAGCTCATGTGTGTAAACCCTGCACTAAATGTACTTAAGAAAAGCACTTCACTGGGGCTGAATTTACTGCTCATAATCAGAACAGTAAGAAAACATACCCTTAAAAATCATTGATTTTAACCATGAATACTTCCTTAAAACGAAAGGACTGAACTGAAGTGTATTTGGTATATATTATATGGTGTTATGAATACCTTTAAACATTGTAAAAAAAATCGAGCAGCTGATTTTACCCCTCAAACTGAATGTCATGTAATCACATGGAACAATTTATACCCCAAATATACATACATTTTTTAACTTGAACACTAGTCAAATTTAATAAATGGACATACATTGTCACTTTAGTAAAATGAAAAGAATTTATTCAAATATTATCTGTAAAATAGATTCATATAGTTCATTTTCTTTAGATGCAACAGTTACACAAAGAAAAAAAGCACCCTTTTGGGCCCCCTGGGTGTTTTAGTAATGCATTGCACATACAAGTTCCATGTTCCAAATTGCTGTTCTTTGGAGTTAATTGC